AGAAATGGGTTATTATACAATTGCTCCCTGATTTTGGCTTCAATATGCAATTTGACACCTAATATTGTGCGCAATTTACCCCCTAACTTTTTAGTAGATGCAATATGGCCCCTAACTTTGGTTTTGATATGCAATTTGGCCCTTTAACTTTGACTTTGATCTATAATTTGGCCCTTAACTCGTTAACACCTAGACCACTTTCTAGCAGTGAGTAAAACTCGACTCGAACTCATGAGTCTCTTCTTTTTCATTGTCATATCCTCCATCATGCATCTTTTATTTGTGATGCATCTTTGTTACTTTCTTGGCTATTTTTCTTTTTGTTCTTCTTAACCATTTTTTTGGGGTTTGCTTTTTGTTGATTTGGAATTAGGGGGCTTCAATATTAGTGGTGGCGCTATAGGGATGATGGTCGGATCTTGGTTTTTCGGTCGGCCGAGAGGTCTCGGGTTTCGACGGTGGTGATAATAGTTCGGGTTTGTGGTGTTGGTTTGAGGATTAGTGACTGGTCGGGTTGGATGTTGGAAGGATGTTGTGCCTTGGGTAGGAAGGAACTTTTTCTTATAGAAGGAATTAGTTTTATTGAAAAGAGAAAATATCAAAAATCTCCAACAAAAAATAAATACGAATAGAATCATTCGAATAAAAGGTTAAAAACCTAACTAAAAACTCCAACAAACAATAAATACGAATAGATCTAACCGCATCGATAAATGAACTATGAAACAAATATAGATAAAAAAATCCTATCAAAATTCACTAGACAAAATCTAAATCCAAAAATGCAAAGTCGAATAAATCAATATAAATTTTACGATTTTTTCCCATCCACCACTATCTCATGTCATTAGGGATGGGCATGGGTTGAGTTGGGTCGAGTTTTTGGTCCATCTGACCCAACCCGATAACAAGGGATCCTCCACCCGAGACTCGATCTAATCCGGCCAAAACAAGATTTCACCTGACCTGAACCCGACCCGAAATAATAATAAAAATATTATTTTTATTCAATAAAAACAATGACTTAATTAAAAAAAATTATATATAGAAGGGTATTATTGTAATTATTCCTAAATATATAATGTAAAATTATATATTTTTTCCGGGACTGATATTTTTCACCCCTAAACCCAAACCCGACCCAAAACCAAAATTAAAAAATTCTGACCCGATCCGATCGTTCGGATCACATGCCCATCCCTACATGTCATGTAGGTATAAATACCAAAATTCTGCAGTTGAATGGTGAAGTCAAAAGCAGATCAAACGGATAGTACTATGGGCACTGAATCTCAACCCCAAAGCATACTTAAGAATTTCTTTTTGTCTTTCTTTGTCGTGTTTTTTATAGGCGGAAAATCGATTATAATGTTATTTAATATATCAAATACAATGTAAGATTATAAAATATATTCACAATATTATATTTTTGAAAATGTTGACGGGCGTATAAAAGATTCCAGGAATTGATGGGAAGAATGAATTTGCAAACAATTGTAGTCAAAAGATCGAATTGAGTAAAATGCAATGTTAATGGTCTAAATAAAAAAGAGAGCGCATTTTTTATAAAATAATAAGAATTGAAGTTACATATGTATTCTATATTGGTATATGAGGATGTGGTTCAAATTTGATAAAAAATGGACTTAAAATAAAAAATTAATTGAAGAAATAAGGAGAATTGAAAAATTGAGGGACTAAATTGAAAAATAGAAAATTTGTTATCGAAAAGAGAAATTGAAAGCACATATGTATTCTATGATGGTTTAAGATCAAATTTGGTTAAAACTAGACTTAAAATGAAGGAGTAATTGAAGGAATAATAAAATCATAAACTAAATCGTAAAACAGTTGAAATAAATAGTCAAAGTTTCGGCTTTCGAGTAACTCGAAATTCCAAATTTCAACTCGACACGAACTCTAAAACCGAATTAATTCAAGTTGACTCAAATAACTCGAAATTAAAAAAAATTGATTTTCGAGTCGAGTTTTGCTCACACCTAATTTTATCGAAAGAACAATCCGACGAAGGAATATATGAAACTATGGTATACAAAAGATCATATAAGCTAATCAACTCCTCAGGCTTGGTGACCACCTCACGCCTAGTAAGTTTCTCTCTTTGCAATGCTAACCAACAACTGATTGCGCTCAATTGTCTGTTGTCCTAGCACAGCACTAACGGCCTCATCAACGCAGACGTACGCAAGAATTTGTGTCAGGGGTGCGAACATAAAAGATTATTTAAAACTTTAGGGGGTGCGAGATTATTAAAAGTCTCAGGGGTGTGAAATTAAATAATTCATATAAAATATAAAGAAAATATATAAAATACAAGGGAATTTTAAATTTCTAGGGGGTGTGACACCCCCTTGGTCCATCCCTGCTTATCAAAGACCAATTAGGTCATCTTTTACATTTTCAGCACTACCTGCGATGGCCTAGAGTGTATGCTAAATCATTATCAGACATTGGAAGCTAATTTTTTCAGAAGATTTGACATATTTTACACTATAATAGACACATTTCTTACAGCCAAGCAGCAGGTAGCAAGTCACTCAAACGGGATACAGGCCACAGTATTCATGGTAATAAAAGATACTACCGATGCCTACAGAAATGAACTGACCTCTAGCTTTGATTTGAAGAGGTCCAGTGCAGGACCTTCCATTTCACCAATCTGTAAAATACATTGAAGCATGAGATTAAGCAGAAATATTAGCTATTAGGGATGGGCATGGGTCGGGTTGGGTTTTTGGTCCACCCGACCCAAAAACAAGAGAGCCTCCACCCGAGACCCGACCTGACCCGATCAAAATAAAGTTTCACCCGACCCGACCCGAATATATGATAAAAAAATCCGACCCGACCCGACCCGAAATAATAAAAAAAATATTATTTTTATTCAATAAAAACAATGACTTAATTGAAAAAAATTATATATAGAGGGGTATTATTGTAATTATCCCTAAAAATATAAGGTAAAATTATATATATATTTCGGATCGGGTCGGATTTTTTTTCACCCTAAACCCGACCCGAACCCGAATTTTTTTTTTAAAAAAATCTTACCCAATCAAGTCGGGTCGGGTTTAAATGCCCATCCCTATTAGCTATCTACTTTAACATTATACTGCATTATTTATATGCCTGGATACAATTGGAGATGAGCACAAACCTGGCACTTTTGAAATTTCTCAATGCAGTGTCCCAATTCCAGTCTTGCTCGAACAACAAATTCCCTTTCATATACGAGGCGTAGGCCTAAAAAAAACCAAAACAAGAGCAAATGTGAAGAAAAGCAGTAATGCTTCATAATTAAAACAGTACAAGTCATCCACAAACACTCTAGTAATTTAAGCATTCATTGCAATAAAATCGGAAATTTGATTAAGAGAATAGGTTCCAGACATCCCTAGCTTCACTTTTCCACGAGTACATACAGTATATGCCCAGAGCACAGTCCACATCTGGATATAGCAAACCCAACCAGGATTTTAAATAGCGTTTGTGGCCGCGTTGCGTTTATCGCGATTGCGGACATAACGGCTGCCATCGTGGTCACTGCGGGTGTCGCGATCGTGAATTTTTTAAAATTTCGCACAACTTATACTAAAACATATAATTATAATTATAATGAGTCATTTTCAATATCTTTAGAATGTTTTCTAAACGAAAATGACATATATATAATATAGTTTAATCAAATAGAATACTTTAAAAATCTGATGATAGAGTAAGATAATTAATAATGAGTTGATGACATTGTGAATACATTATTATTTAAAAGAAATAAGTTATTCAATCATTAATGTAAGAACATAAAACTATGACGTATAATAATTAAAGCCGCAACAGGACTAAATTGAATAGAACACGACTAAATTGAATAGAATTAAAATAAAAGTATAAACTTAAAGAACACAAACTTATGATTAAATTAAATAAAAATTAAAGTTTATATTCTAAAATAAGGATTAAATTATAAATTCTAAAAGATTGGAGGGATGATAAATTAATATATCCCTTAAAATATTTAAGAATTTATTTAAAAAATTAAAAAAATAGAAAATAGGAAATAGAAGTAAACGGCCCAAAAACAATATACTTATTGTTTTTTGAATTAAAAATCAAACATAAAAACAAAAGAACTTACCAGAAACTATTTAATATTTTAATATAATTTTAAGTCTTATATCTCTATTCTCTTCTCAATTTTAAGTTTAACCTTTCATTTTTCATAGGAGCTAAGGAGCATACTCTAGCATATTTTTCACCGGCGACGAAGCTCATAAGACTCCAGATTTTCCTCAAAATAGTTTTGTTTTGTCGGCTTGTTCTCTTTTAGGTTTGATCTTTGCCTTGATGACCTGTAACCGGTGAGTCTTCCTGATGATGTGTTTTCTATTTTTTCTAGAGTTTAAGAGTTTTTTTGAGTGATAATTTCAGCTTTTTTTACGTTTTATTCCGATGGTGAGTCTTTTCTGGTTAGATTTTTGCGTTTTTGGGTGAGAATTCTATTTTTTTCCAGTAACGGTTGAAAACGGTGATAGCGCTCTGTTATCGGCGCTATCCACCGTTATCCCGTTAAATTGAGGGCGTGACGGACCGTTACCGGCGTGAATCTATTACCTACCGTTAAACTCAACAAAATTGGTTTCGGACGACGGCGCGACCGTGAAATAGCGGACGCGATCGCGTTTGCGTCCCGCTATTTGAATCCCTGAACCCAACCAGAAAGAGAGAACTCATTCCCCTCACTGTGATGCCTCCTCAAACGATTTATGCAACCTCCTCAAACGAGCAGTGCAATACCTCCTGCAGCCCAAACATTATTCATTTAAATATTAACAATATCTAAATATAAGAACATTTCAATAATTCTCTGTTGAATGCTTTCCGAGATAGGTGCTCTAAGTCGGGCGGAATTGCGACCAGCGAATGTTGGGCTTTTAGTTTTCAGTTCTTCAGATTGTTGCTTTAACATTTACATCTGATTGTCAAGGTCGGGAAATTAGATCCCTAGATTCGAAGATGGAAATCGATGAAGATAGGAGCGATTTCGAGAAAGATGAAGAGGAAGACGACGACTCAGTTTCCGATCTCTTGAGAGATCGCTTTCGTCTCTCCGCCATCTCCATCGCCGAATACGAAGGTCCGTTTTTCACCCAATTCCGATTCTTTTTTCCGGCTTCTTTTTCTTAAATAAAATATTACAGGATTTCCGTATTGGACTGAATTGAATTTTCAAATCTTCAACTAATTGAAGCACAACTAAGAGAAACAGTATGGAGATTTCTCAACCGATTGTAGCTTGCATCACCGATTTGACCTTCGAATACATCGGTAACTACGCAACATTATGTTATTTTCTATTTCAGTTTTCCTTTTATGTTATTTCTACTTTCGTATTTTTATTTGAAAACATCTTAATGCTCGAATTCACTGGATTTGGTTTCTATATAATCGTTGTTTTATTGGGTTTAATGGTGTAGCTGAATGAATAAATTATTTTGATTTTGTGTCAATTTGCAATATCGGCCTCCATTGGAGGTTATCATTGCTGTTATATTAAGAACATCTATGAACTTGGTATTAACAATGTAAGAGTTGCTTCTGCATTTGCGAAGGCCTTGGTTACACTTTTCGTGGTGCGACAATCTCGGTTGCCATGAAACCGAAAATATCACCCGGTGCTCGAGCACAATCAGCTTTCGATGGCTTATGATATCAAGCACCATTGGACGCCATTGAGACTTGCTGCCCATTAGTGCTCGAGCATTAAGGCTGTTGGTCTAAGTATTATACAATTTGAAGTTATTTTGAATATGACTGTATATTTAGTATTCTCAGTATGCCTGGTGGGAATATAACTATAAACGATAACCCATTTTTAATCCTGGAAAGCGAGAACTTGTTGTCGCTCACATCACCCTTTGTGTTGTTTGACATTATTATGAAAAAGCTCCCCCGAACCAATGAACCATTCGGCTGCTTGAGTTGCAGGTCTCCTGGCAAAGGACCTTGATCTATTTGCACCCCATGCTGGTCGTAAATCCGTGACACCATGGCAGATGTCATAGTTTCTGGTGAGTGTGTCACTAATCTCAAATAATTGATTTATTTCTTCTTTTATTTTGAGTTAGTGACGCTGAAAATCATTATCATCTTCTAAGTAGTGATTTATTTCGAGAGAGAGAGAGACCCTGGTTCTTTCATATCGATGTGTTACAGTAGTGGATTCATATTTGTTCTGATTTATAGAAATATAAAACCTATTCACTTCAATTTCAGCTCATAGAAATAATCATTTAGTTGCCTCGTCGAGGTCTATTTCATATCAATAGGTTAGAAGTAGCCAAATCGTATCAATATGTTGAGGTCCATTTCATATAGACAGGTTAGAAGTAGGCAGTTCATATTTGTTCAGGTCCATTGCAACATAAAATCTATTCTCTTCCACTTTCAGCTCATAGAAATAATCATTTAGGTGGCGTTTGGTTCGCTGGGATTCCTTGGAATTAAGGGGAATTGGAATTCAATTCCACCACTTTCCCATATTTGGTTCAAGTTTTTAAAGAGGGAATTGGAATCTAATTCCATCAAGGGAGGGAAAGTAAATTTCATCCATAACATGATGGAATTGAAATCTTTTGGACGAGAGAATGTGAAATTTGATCATACTATCCTCATCAATCTTTTGCTTTTCGAGTCGGATTTTTTTAAAAAAAATTCGGGTTCGGGTCGGGTTTTTTTAAGTGTGATATTCGGGTCGGATCGGGTTTTTTTAAGTGTGATATTCTGGTCGGGTTTGGGTTTAGGGTGAAAAATACCCAACCCGGCCCGAAAAAATATATAATTTTACCTTATATATTTAGGAATAATTACAATAATACCCCTCTATATATAATTTTTTTTCCAATTAAGTCACTATTTTTATTGAATAAAAATATTTTTTTATTATTTCGAGTCGGGTCGGGTTGAATTTCTAATTCATATATTCAGGTCGGGTCGCGTTGGGTGAAACTTTATTTTTGGTCGGGTCGGGTCTCGGGTAGAGGTTCCCTTGTTCTCGGGTCGAGTCTCGGGTGGAGGTTCCCTTATTCTCGGGTCGGGTCGGGTGGACCAAAAACCCGACCCAACCCAACCCATGACCATCCCTAATTGGGATGATTTTAACTTATGATGTTTATTAATATGATTTTATAATTTATTGAAATGAATAATCAATCAATAAAATGAAATTTTAATATTTTTAAAATTTTTATAATATATTGCTACATGTAAGTTATAAAACAAATTAAAATTAAGCAAAAAAACAAAAAGGGATATTCTGTCATTTTACATTACTGAAATCAATTTCATCTGACATATCTGCGCACCAAACAGAATATGAAATTGGATTCCAATTCAATTTCCTGTCAACCAAACATGTTTCAGATTCATATTACAATTCTTTCACAGATTCCAATTCTCTCAGAAACACTCCAGCGAACCAAACGCCACCTTAACTGCCTCGTCAAGGTACATCTCATATTAACATGTTCAAAGTAGCCAATTCGTATCTGTTTCAGATCCATAGAAACATGAAATCTACTCTCTTCAATTCTCTGCTCATAGAAATGAATGTTTAGCTAATTCTTTGTGGTATGTATCATAATGATCCATATTTTGCTCAGTTCCATTGTGTTAGGATTTTCGGACGCTCGAATAGACAACCGGAAAGGTTTGCAAAGAGGGGTCAGAACGGTTTTGTGTTTAGGGAGTAAGAAGATTGAAAGATAGAAAATTGCACAGCGATTTAGAGTGGTTTGACTTTCTCAATCAAAGTCTACATCTACTACCTTAGCTCCTCACCAAGGATTTTCCAACAAATTTACTAATTTGTTCTTTCTTTTGAGGACAAAAAGATAACCTTACAACTCCTTAGTTTTTCCGGGCTAAACTAGAACCTTTCCCTAGCTTTTACATGGGATAAGCTAGAACCTTTCCCCTTTACAAAAGGATAAAAGATGTAAACAAGAAAACCTCTCTAAGGTAGGTGTTTACAAGATTGAGCTCACAAGAACAAAATATTTACAAGAGAAAGATGAAATAAGAATGAAAAACTCTTCTCTTGTGTTTGATTGCTTGGATAGTTGTTCTCTTACTTCTTCAAGTGTCCTTAACTTGTATTTATAGATTGGAATGTGTTTGATGTTGTATATAGTCGTTGGGGATGTTTTGGAGTCGTTTGGAGATGATTTTTCTACTCAAAAAGGCTGCCCATAACATGATGCATCGATGCATGATCAAGGTGCATCGATACCCCTTCATTAAATTCAAATAAACTAGTTGTTACTAGCCGTTGCAGCCTTGATGCATGGATGCATGGCAGGATGCATCGATGGCAGGATGCATCGATGCATGGCAAGGATGCATCGATGCACTAATTGCATTCGATGTTTGGATGCATGGATGCATTGCTTGATGCATCGATGCATTAGTGCAGATGCATGGATGCACTGCAGGGATGCATGGATGCACTGCAGGGATGCATGGATGCACTTTGACACCCTTTAGCATTTTTGCTCAAATCCGATTTTAATGGACTTTGAATTATTTTTGAAACCTTTTAAAACTTTGAATAAATTCAATTCAAATCCAAAAACATTTTGCAAATTCAATTCAAGTCCAAAAACATTTTGCCTTAAATTGTTATATCAAAACATAGTTCAACAATCTCCCCCTTTTTGATATAACAAAACATTTGAAAAATTGTTTTTGGTAAAACTCCCCCTTAATAAATTGTTTAATGAAAAAGATATCAATTGTTACCAATTGTTGGAAAATATATGAAAATGTTATGCTCCCCCTTTTTCATTAAGAAATTGAATATTTCAAACCAAACTTCTCCCCCTTTTTGTTATATAAAAAATAATTCAATCTTTGAAGTTCAAAATAACTTTGGAGAGTAAGTAGTAAATTTGACATTTAAAAATCATTTGAAAAATCAAAGCTCCCCCTCAATAAATGCATTCCAAACAAAATTTAGCTTTTAAGTTCATGACACTTAAACAAAATATTGAATTTCTACAAAGAATAACAAACATGTTAGAGGCACATGAAATTCAATATATCCAAGTCTAAAATACTTTATGCAATACCAATTGTTGAAATTTGATATTAATACCAATTGTTAAAATTAAGTGCATTTGCATAAAGTTTTCCAAAAATGTTATGCATTTTTAAAAATTTGATATCAATTGCTAGAGAGATATCATTTTCATTTAGACCAGATGCATAAACATTCAAATTTAGGCCAAAAATTAAAATTTATAAAATCAAAGTATTTTGAAATTTGATATCAATTGTTAGAGAGATATCATTAGCATTTAAAACCAATTTTGACCAAAATTCATTATGATGAACTAAAAATTCTCAAAAAATAATATAACTTTAAAATGTTCATCATAATCATCTTTTCAACATACATGAGATTAAAACAATGATGCATAATCATTTAAAACCAAAACTCATGCATGCTTAAAATCAAATGAGCAACCAAATAACCAAAATTAAAAGCATTAAGCTTAGAGGTTACCCATTCCTTTTTCAAGTGTGGCTAGAGCATCTTGAATATCATCACTTTCATCACCATTGCTCCCACACACCTACAAGAGACATTTATTTGGATTTTGGTATCCAAATTGCTTTGGATCCTTGAACGTTAGTTTCAATGCCTCTTGTTCCCTTAGGAATCCATACTTGTTTAATTTTAAAACGCTTTCCTTTCTTCAAAGGACAAGTATGTTCCTTATGACCATGATAATGACAATGTGAACATATTGTCATTATTGAACTAAATGAATTATTTAAAATGATTTCTTTTTCTTTTGTTAAGCATTCAAGCTTAACTTTTAAATCAAAATTTTCTTTTTCAAAACTTTCAATTTTTATTTTTGAAAGCTCTAAATCCTTTTTCAAAATTTCATTTTGGCTTTCAAAATCTATTTTTGTTTTCAAAAGAAAATCATTCTCGATTTTAAATTTTGAAATCATTTCTTATATTTGGAGTTCATGGTCTCAAACTCCGAATATAACCTATTAAAAGCATCTTGTAACTCATCAAACGTATAAGAATTAAATTCGTTTGAGTTAGAAGATACCTCGGGCTCTTCATTAGCCAATAGAGACACCACCTTTGTTGGTTCTTCTTTCTTGTTTCCATGGATTTCCTCGAGCTTATTCCAAAGCTCCTTGGCACTTGAACATGAAGAAACTCCTTCATAGATTTCAGGACCAAATGCACACAACACCATGTTCATGGCCTTGGCATTAAGTTGAGCTTTCTTCCGTTCTTTGTCACTCCGCTTATTCTCCTTCTTCTTTGGAGAAGAGTAGCCGTTCTCGATTATCTCCCATGCATCAAGATCATTGGATTGGATGAATACTTTCATTAATTTCTTCCAATGACGATAGTTGACTCCATTGAAGTATGGAGGCTTGTCGGTTGGTAGGGAGTCTTCCATGTGGAACGAGTCGGAGGTGGAAGCCATCTTCTCGGTTGTGTCGGGAATTGGTAGATCGTCTTCTAGGACCGTCTCAAGGTGGTTAAACTTTCTTAATGAGTTAGGCTCTGATGCCAATTGTTAGGATTTTCGAACGCTCGAATAGACAACCGGAAAGGTTTGCAAAGAGGGGTCGGAACGGTTTTGTGTTTAGGGAGTAAGGAGATTGAAAGATAGAAAATTGCACAGCGATTTAGAGTGGTTCGACTTTCTCAATCAAAGTCTACATCCACTACCTTAGCTTCCCACCAAGGATTTTCCAACAAATTTACTAATTTGTTCTTTCTTTTGAGGACAAAGAGATAACCTTACAACTCCCTAGTTTTTTCGGGCTAAACTAGAACCTTTCCCTAGCTTTTACACGGGATAAGCTAGAACCTTTCCCCTTTACAAAAGGATAAAAGATGTAAACAAGAAAACCTCTCTAAGTTAGGTGTTTACAAGATTGAGCTCACAAGAACAAAATATTTACAAGAGAAAGATAAAATAAGAATGAAAAACTCTTCTCTTGTGTTTGATTGCTTGGATAGTTGTTCTCTTACTTCTTCAAGTGTCCTTAACTTGTATTTATAGCTTGGAATGTGTTTGATGTTGTATATAGCTGTTGGGGATGTTTTGGAGTCGTTTGGGGATGATTTTTCTGCTAAAAAAGGATGCCCATAACATGATGCATCGATGCATGATCAAGGTGCATCGATACCTCTTCATTAAATTCAAATAAACTAGCCGTTACTAGCCGTTGCAGCCTTGATGCATGGATGCATGGAAGGATGCATCGATGCACTAATTGCATTCGATGTTTGGATGCATGGATGCATTGCCTGATGCATCGATGCATTAGTGCATATGCATGGATGCACTGCAGGGATGCATGAATGCACTGCAGGGATGCATGGATGCACTTTGACACCCTTTAGCATTTTTGCTCAAATCCGATTTTAATGGACTTTGAATTATTTTTGAAACCTTTTAAAACTTTGAATAAATTCAATTCAAATCCAAAAACATTTTGCAAATTCAATTCAAGTCCAAAAACATTTTGCCTTAAATTGTTATATCAAAACATAGTTCAACACATTGAAACATAAAATCTGTTCTCTTCCATTTTCTGCTCATAGAAACGAACATTTAGCTGCGTCGTTGAGGTCCTTCCGCGATGAGCTTAAAGGAAAGGAACCCCAATGTGAAAGGAAGAGGAAGAAAGTACTCAGAAAAGACGATAAGGCTATCGAAGGTATTGTGCATATCCCTGATCTCTGATTCCTGATTTTGGATAATTAACCCTATCTGCAAATATTGGACATTACAGGTCTTTTACACACTATAAGCTTACAAAAATATGCAAAACCATGATAAATGGTAATTCAATTTGTAATACAATCTATTTTCACCTCAAATTTATTTAGGTTAAGTTACTTGGTGGATTACTTGTACTACAAGATTGTTAGTTATTAAGCTGAGTTCAAATTACTCGAGTTACTGAGTGAATTGAATTCACATATATTAGCTCTCTGATTTGAGTAACTAAATAATGTAATCGACTTTTTCTATAAATATTTTGATGTTAATTTTCATTTCTAAAAGAATGAAAATATTTATAATATAGGGTAAATTACAAATTTGGTAACTGAATTTTACTCTCTCCTATATCACTCACTATACTTTAAATCTTTTCAATTTTCTCACTGAACTTAATTCTTTTTTTTTTCACTCAGCTGGTAAATAATTAACGGCGTTAAAACGGTCTGTTATATAGATGAAACGATGTTGTTTTTAATGTTGTTAACTTTTTAATGCCGGAGTGACCAAAATAGGAGAGAGTAAAGTTCAGTGACAAAAAACCCAATGCATTAAATTCAATGAGGAAATTGAAAACTTTTAAAGTTCAGTGATAAAAATAGGAGAGAGAAAAAAGTTTAATGATGAAATTTGTAATTTACCCTATAATGTATATATTACTGTTTTTGTTTTGAATAGTCTATTGTGTTTACAAGATAATATATATTCATAATCCTTCATAGTCGTTGATAATGTATACACACTCTCAAACACAACTGCTTGAACTCAAAACTTGTAGGGAGAACAACACTCCCTTTATCATTGAGGTCACTCGATCGGTTCATTATTGATTTTCTATATATTAAGAGGGTGTCTGAAGAATATGATCCCGATTTAAAAATCGAATACGAGTAGTGATGAACCGAGGGTGAGGCGGTCAAGGTCAGTCGCTCTCCTGAAAATTTTATAAATTCGCCCCTTAAAGTTTTGTAAACTCGTCTTCGTTATAAAATCTTGCATTCGTTTTTAGATACAAATATGTTAAAATGAGTTAATTAAGTTTGCATTAATTGTTTATGAAGTACCGAATAATTGTGAATTTATATTAAATAATCCACCGTCGTGATTGTGATAAGATAATTTATCAATATTGAGGAAGAAAAGAACCGACAAGAGCATGTTGGGGAAGATAGTAGAATCCATAATTAGGGAGAAATGTTTAGGTATTCCATTATTACAGGGATCATATTATTCCTAACTCTGCCTAATTTAGGTACTCCATTATTTCATTTTTTTTTTATTTTTGTGGTTGTAAATTATGATTTATATTTGATACTTGGTTTAATATAAAAATAAGTGTTTAAATTATACTCAAAATTTATTTTTGGCGTCTAAAAACTTTTTCATTGAAAACATGTGTTTATTGTTTTTTCTGTTACACTTTTAGGTGCTTACAATTAAAAAAAAATTATTAAGTAACACGTGTTACGTTCAGATTTTTTAATAAAAATATTTTTAAATATTATTTTATATTTTTTAAAATAAAAAATATAAACGTGAAACATGTCACTTAACGGTTTTCTTCAACGGTAAACACCTAAAAGTGTAACATAGAAAATATCAAACACTTATTTTTAACAAAAAAATAATTAAGATTTCAGTTCTTAATTCATATTTGAGGTAAGAGATTTGTCTTTATAATATATTTTTGTAGTATTAGGTGACAAATCTAGAAGTATCTTTAAGAGTAGATATATATATATATATATATATTAACAAAATAATCGTACGAGGTGAGTATAAATAAAATTTCAATGTGGACATTATCAGTTAAATGAATAATATAAAATTTTTTTTTGGATTTTAGAGTGAATATGTGTCTACTTTGAAAAAGTCTTGCATCTGTCATCTATAGTATTCGATTCGAACATATTGTAATCAATAAATTAAATATTAATAATTATAAAAAAAATGAATTTTAGGTGAAATTACAATCTTGTGATGAGAATGTGACGTACTAATAAATGACCGCCACGTGGAAATTTAAGCGTACCAAACTAACACGGCGCCGGCTAGAAACTTAACGTAGCTCAGCCGACATCTTCAAACGGTAATCCCCCACCGTTTTTTGATTTTCTAAAATTTATTATTATTAATTTAAACATTTTATTTGTATATTAAGAATAGTTTTGAAATTATTAAATAGTTTTATTGAACAGATAAAAATATAATAAACTATGAATCTCAACAAAATTATATAAAAAAATTGAATTAAAATAATTATATTGAAGATAAACTTCATCAACACTAAACTAAAAAAATCATATAATAATTATTCAACCTAATAAAAGAAGAGAGATAATAAAAGAACAGAAAAAAAATCAATAATATTTTTTATAAATAAAAAAATATTAATAAATAAATCAAGGATAAATTACGCGTTTAGTACCTAAATTATCAGCTCTGATCTGTTTTAATATCTAAACTTTTAATTTTTTTTCAAAATCATACCTAACGTTTAGTTTTTGTTTCATTTTAATACCATGCTGTTAAAATTTTAACATAACTATTATAACTTGAAACTTTTTTATGGGTACATTACGTCATTCATCCTCTAACTATCTTATCACTCCTATTTTGGTCATTGAAGTTTAATTTTTTAATTTAATTATTTAACTTTCAAATTACTCATAATTCAATCACTCTAACTTTCAAATTTATTTTTATTTTAACTATATATTAGTAAAATAAAAAATATCATGTCATAAAATATTATTAATAAAATAAATTAGAGTGATTAAAACATGAGTTACTTGAAAGTTGAGAATTTAAATTAAAAAATTTTAAACTTTAATGACCAAAATAGGAGTGAGCATATAGTTAAGGGATAAATAAAAGAAGAGATATAATAAAAGAACATATTTTTATGGCACGCTTTTTATGAATTTAGGTACGTTTTTCGTATATCTTCGTGGTCATTTTGTATTCATATAAGATATTTTTTTGATGAATTTGTCGGTAGTCAAGTATTGTCAAATCTCCTCTTAGGTAAATGGTTGTTTGTAGATATCAAAATTGTGTAATGAAGTAGCATGTCAGATAGTTTCGTTCGCTCACCACTCTTTTTTCACTTCGTAAAAAATCTCGTTCAACAGAGACAAGAAGTTTTTGTGAAGGTTACATTGTTTTTTTTATGTTGGTCGTCATTATCAAATGAATGATTTATTTAGGGATGGGCGTGGGACGGATTGGGTCGGGTTTTTGGTCCACCAGACCCAACCCGAGAACAAAGAGTCCTTCACTCGAGACACGACCCAAATCTGACCTGATATATAACTTAAAAATCCGACCCGACCCGAAATAATAAAAAATATTTTTATTCAATAAAAATAGTGACTTAATTGAAAAAATATATATAGAGAGGGGTATTATTGTAATTTTTCTTAAATATATATGGTAAAATTATATATTTTTTTCCGGGACTGATCGGGTCGGGTATTTTTAACCCTAAACTCGAACCCAATTTTTTTTTTAAAAAATCTGACCCGATCGGATCGGGTCAAAACCCGTCGAGTTCGGTTTCCATACCCATCCCTATTTTTTTTTATTTATAGTTTAATATTAATATTTTTGTTTTTTATTTTTATTAACAAAATCCAATTATCCTGGTTCAAAAAAGTTAATAGAAAAAATTGAGTTTACCATGATATTAAAAATATAGATCAAATCAACAATGAGTTAATTTAATCAAATAATATTAATTTTTTATGAAATTTAAAATTAAAATATTATAAATAATATAAAATAAATTTAATAATTATTTAATAATAAATGTATATAATATTTAATTTAAATTAATGTAGAAATGTTTTTATTAATTTATAAATAAATTGATTAGCGATAACTGAATAAAAAAATATGGGCGGAGGAGAGCCGTAAATAGGGATGGGCCTAGGTCGAGTTAGATCAGGTTTTTGTCCACCCGACATGGCCCGAGAAAAAGGAATCCTCCACCCGAGATTCAATCTGACCCGACCAAAACAAGATTTCACCTAACTCGAACCCGACCCGATATATAACTTAAAAATCGACCCGACCAAAAATAATAATAAAAATATTATTTTTATTCAATAAAACAATGACTTAATTGAAAAAATAATAATATATAGAGGGTTATTATTGTAATATTTCCTAAATATATAAGTTAAAATTATATACTTTTTTAGGTCCTGTCGGGTATTTTTCACCCTAAACCCGATTCGACCCGACCCAAACATCACATTTAAAAAAATTCGATATGAACCCCCCAATTTAAAAAAAAACCGACTTCATCGGATCAAGTTGAAACCTGTCGAGTTTGGATCTCATGCTCATCCCTAGCCATAAAGGCGTAAACGATAGAGCCGTCGGTCGTGTTTTAAGGAACATATCTTATTTCTCTTTATCCAGAAATGTAAACAAATAAATAAATAAATAATATAAATATCCTTTTTATGTTTTGTTTTCTCTCTTTCATTTATTAATTCATTTATTAATTTAGGATAAACACATTAGAGATTTATTGAATTATGCTCAAATAATAGTTTTAGTTATTAAACTTTCAAAAGTTACCTATAATCATTGAATGTATTCATCTATTATAAAATAATTATAAATTTTTATTTATAAAATGGTCATTAATATCAAACTTTATACTATGATCAATAAAATGATCAAATACTGACTTTATTATAATATTCTAATGATTACTCGGTAATCAGTTGGTCTAGTAGAATAAGGAGGCATTAGATCTCTTAAGCAAGATCAATAGTTCGAATCCTAACATTTGCAAATGGATCAAATTGGGTTGGGAGGATCGCTCTTGCCTCTGTAGTATATGATATGGGTTAATCAATTAATAGATCAAATATAAGTGGTTATACCAAAAAATTAATATCACGATGATTGTTTTATAATAGATAAATAAATTTAAGGGTAAATTACGTATTTAATACATAAACTATCAGTTTTGATCTATTTTAGTACCTAAATTTTCAATTTTTTAAAATCATACTTAACGTTTATTTTTTCATTTTATTTTAGTTCACGCTGTTAAAAACTTAAGGTGTTCAGTACCTAAACTATCAATTTTGGTCCGTTTCTGTACTTAAACTTTCAATTTTTTTAAAACTTAACGTTAACTTTTGAATGAGATACTAAAAGGAAACAAAAACTAAAGTTTTTAAAGGTAGGGTACTAAAATGAAATAAAAACTAAAATTTAGGTATGGTTTTGAAAGAAAAAAGAAGTTTATGTGCTAAAATGGATCAAAACTGATAGTTTAGGAGCTGAACATGTAATTTAACCTAAATTTAATGATCATTTTGTATCTTTTGAAATTTTAATGTATCAAAATGTGTATTTAAGTGACCTATAGTGTACTTTATCCATTTTATTATTTTCAAAACCAACTCTTTTTTTCCTCCGTTTATTTTGTTTTTTAATTCTGTCTAAAATCCAAAATCTATTTCTTTTTATCTGTTCAATTGTTTCTCTTCCTAAAAGAAACTCATCGGTGAGCGACCGGCGAGAATCCACATCTCGCCGGAATTTCGCTTTCTTGGATCTTAGGAATTTTGCAATTTCTTTTGCCTCTCGGGATCGAGCTGCCGAAAGAGGGATAGAGAATTAAATTTCATTTTTTTTCAAAAATTTATGTCAAATGATTCCGTAATTATGGTTTTGTAGAAGAAGACAGAGACCAAAAAAAAAACATAAAAAAATAATTCTCTCTCGTGTGGCGAGCTATGGCTTGAAATGCAGGAAAAACATGATTAGGTCCCTTGCTCTATCTTCTTCTTTTATGCCTTGAATTATTTTTCCTTCTCAGAATTGCTCTTTTTTAATATTGAATTGCGTGTTGCTTTCGACCCGGGTGTCATTTCATGAAACGGTTCACGGAATTTTCAAGAGATTTGGTTCAAAAGGTAAGGTTTGGTTTCTGTTTCATTGAGGTCAAAAGCTTTTTTCCAATCTCAACTTTGTAGGTTAATTTCAGAATTTAGGCATTTTTCGTGACTGAATTCCTTGATCTGATCTGCGATTTTGTAGGTTTTTCTTCTTTTTTATGGTTGAAGCTGAACAAATCATTTGTATTACTTAAACTGCATAAAAAATGCCGGGGAAAGAAAACTAGAATTTAGCATCATGTGTGGTTTTTTAATGGGAAATTCACCTTATTCAGCATCATGTATGGTTTTTTATTCACCGTTAAATTTTGTTTCCCCCCTCTTTCCTGTGTTCATAAATTCATAATTTAGGATTTATGATTTTTTTTTTTTAAATTGTCGTTGGTGAGTGGCTTTATATTTGATGGTACATATTGTATCAACTTATTTGAATTCTTTAGAAATGCTTTGAAGTTGTCAATTTTTGAAGAAAATATCTAGCTTTATATCCGATCTTCACTTCCTTTGAATAGGGATTGTTTTTGTTGAATGCTTTCCGAGACAGTGGCATTAAGTCAGGCGGAATTGCGACCGATGAATGTTGGGCTTTTAGTTTTCAGTTCTTCAGATTTGTGGTGTTGAAGCCGAAGAATGCCATTTGAGATCATGGATCAAAGGAATGCAGTGGCATCATCCCACTTTTTAGAAGACACTCGTTTCACTGCTGAGGTATTCTATGGAACAATGATACAACCAGTTTTATAATTTGCTTTATATCTTGAGTTTATTGGATGAGTCTGTATTTCTTGTTTTAGATGATATGGTAGGGTTCCTGTATGTGCTCATTTTGAATTGTGACCATTTTCTAGTCACTGTGGCAGAGAAATGTAATTCATTTCATGTTGCTTTAACATTTACTTCTGTTGGGCAGAGACAAGTTGGATTCTGGAAACCGAATACTATGTCTGATTATCAAGGTGAGATCAATGCTATTGTTAAACTGCTCATACTTTCTGCTGCTAATCGGTTTATTTTAAATGCATTGACGGGTCCAACTGGCTGTCAATTTCTTGTTAGTAGACTCAGATCAGAAAATCATAATTTCTAGCTTTTGTTATTGTTAAACTTAATAGATGACCAGCTCTTTATCTTGGTGACTGTGAGGAGATATGGTCCCTGACTTGGGGATTTCATTTGGGATGTATTTAAGAATTGTGATTAACCTTCATGACGGAGTGAATAACGCAAATATATTATTTCCAAAGTCACTTGATATACTTGGTGTCAGTCTTAGACACTTTCATTTCCAAATGCTTTATTTATTGTCTGAATTGACCCTCTAGAGAGATTTTCTTGGAACATGGGGTTTGTCTCTTGAGCACGTTAACCTCGATTAATTTAGTAAATTCACTTAGTTTTCTTATTATTTTTAGCAAATATGTTTCGTGTTTTGAGGAATTTTTGCTGATGTCACATGTTAAACTTCGGAAATCATTCCTAAATCTTGAATGTTTTAAATGAAAACCTTTTTTGTTTTTTACTTGTGTTAAAAGAAACCTTGTGCATGGTTTGTTTCCTGTGTGAAAAAACTTCTGGTCTTTGCAGACAAGGTCGTTAGTTCATCCCCGTTGGAAAAACTGTCTACCGAGCATATGGAACTACCCCCATCAAATTTGGCAAGAGATCAAGAAGATGGGGTAAACATTGATCGGAAGGGAATTACCAATCTATCTGAGACGCATTCATGGAGTTCTGTGAATCATGATCCAAAATCGATGTCAAATTTGTATACACAACCAGCAGTGAACTTGAATAGAAACAGCACCAATGGCAATGTGATCCAGCATGAAAGTAGTCTGTTTACAAGTTCATTCTCTGAAATATTTAAGAGAAATTGTAAGTGTTTTTATCTACTTGCATCAACCTTGTGTGCATGTCAATGGGTGTCTCTACTAATGTGGCAACTTAGTTTTGAATTTCATGTTTGCGCTTTTTCTCTCCTGATTTTCTAATATCAATTTCTTATATAGTTTTTTACATGTTGAATCTTTTGATTGCTGGCAATTAATTTCCTACCATGGCATGCAAAAATTTCTGAAAGAAATTATGATATTGTTCTATTAACTAATTATTCCATTGATGTCTATATTGTTCATCTGTTCATTCACACACATGTTTTCTCTATTTCCCTTTTTATCTACTAGAGGTTCATCAAAATAGGACATTTTCTCATCTGACTGTAAACTGGGGCTAATATTGATCTTCACTGCACTGATCATTTTCCCCTAATTTTTTCTGGTTACTTGCTGCCTTTTTTATTTGAATAAATTATAATATTTTATCTGTTATTTCCTTTGCTTTTCTCTGTATGCAGTGAGATTATTGGGGAACGATCTACCTTGTCAACATGCCGGTTCAGCTGCTTCACACCATGAGGGAGAACCTTTCAAACATATGGAAGAAGTTGAGGCACAGACTATTGGGAATCTCCTTCCTGATGAAGATGATCTCTTCTCTGGGGTGATTGATGACTTGGGACTTAAAACTCATGCCAGTAAAGGAGATGAATTAGAAGACTTCGATCTATTCAGCAGTGGTGGAGGAATGGAGTTAGAAGGGGATGATCGTGTATCCATGGTTCCAAGGAATTCAGATCTTGTTAGAGTATTGAATGATCAAGGGAGTTCAAATGGCTTAATTGTAGGTGAACATCCATACGGTGAACATCCTTCTAGGACACTTTTCGTTAGGAACATTAATAGCAATATTGAAGACTTGGAGTTAAAGGCTCTCTTTGAGGTTCGTGTTCCTTTCAATCTGTTTCACTGTTTATTGAGACTTTTTGCGTGGAAAATCCATCAATTATCGTTTTAAAGGGTACATGTTCAATTAAGTTGATTGACCAACCTGTTTTCTTCTGTCAGCAATATGGAGATATCCGAACTCTCTATACTGCCTGCAAGCATCGTGGGTTTGTTATGGTTTCTTATTATGATATAAGGGCAGCCCAAAACGCAATGAGGGCTCTGCAAAATAAATCACTGAAGCATAGGAAACTTGATATACATTATTCAATTCCAAAGGTTTGGCTTCAACCAATTTGTTCTGGATGATTATTGCCTAGTTTTGTTGTCGTTACCGTCACTGCTGGTTCAACTTACAACCTTGTTTTGTCCAATTTGTTGATGAATCTTCATGTGACTTGTTGCTGCTTTATCTTTTATTTTCCAAACTCTTTTGGCCTCAGGAAAATCAATATGAAAAAGATGTTAACCAAGGGACGCTGGTGGTTTTCAACCTTGATTCTTCTGTTTCAACTGATGAACTTCAACAAATATTTTGTGCTTTTGGAGAAATTAAAGAAGTAAAGGATTCGTTCACCTTCTTTTAGCTTCAAATGTTACTTATGTTTGGATGATAATGTATAAGTCATGTAGTTAATTTGTGTGGCAGATTCGTGAAATTCCACACAAGCATGACCATAAATTCATAGAGTTTTATGATGTTAGAGATGCAGAAGCTGCTTTTCATGCTCTGAATAGGAGTGTTATTGCCGGAAAGCAGATCAAACTTGAACCAAGCCGTCCATGGGGAGTTAGACTGTAATATCATAAACTGGTTCCTTTTTTCTTCACTTTCTTTTTGAAGAGTTTCCCCTTTTTCCCATTATCATGGCATGGCTCCTGAAAGTGGGAATTTGTTTTTATTTATTTATTACATTTTGATTCTATTTTTGGTTCTATGCTTTACTACTTCCGTACTTAAATATGAATTTGGAGTTGGTAAATCATGCTTGATATTTTCTAGATACCTTATTTGCATTTTGTTATACAAGTTGTATTCGTTTCCTTATTCTTTATATTTTTAAATGAAAAAACTACTGTTTTCTATGGCTTCTATAAAATAGTTATTCAAAGTTCCTTTTGTAGCTTTATGCAACAGCCCGAGTCAGAGCAAGATGAACCTAACCTATGCAAAAGCACTTTTGATGAGTTCTTATCAGGCAACGGTGGTATGCTCTGCCTTTAATATCTGCAATCTTATCAATTCATCATAAACTGTTGTTTCAGAGAAAATGTTTCTATTGCCTCATGGTTCCGACTTTATGATTCATTCTGACAGTTTCTCGAGGAATAACTGCATCTGGCTGCGTGGATAATGGGTCTACCCAGGTGGTTGTACCTGTGAGTAAATTTGTTGAACCCCCTCGAAGTTCGAGTGTTCCAATTAACTTAGCCTCTCCAGCAAGAGCAGCGCCTGTAGGAAAACAAATAAGCTTTCTGGAGCCTGACCACTCTCTAGATGAAGTGAAGTTTGCTAACGAAGGTGTACCAAGTTTCCATTCCCATTCCTTACCCGAATGTCAAGATAGCTTAGTCAATGGTATTTCATTCAACTCCTATAGCACCATAACGGACATGGCTAGCGGTGCCAGTCCCATGATGGCTGAAGGACTTGATAATAGGCACATTCGGGGACCACGGTCAAATGGCCACCTGATGCAACCCAACGCAGGAGGTAAGCTCAGCTGATTATGGTATTCAATATTAATTAAAAATGTTTTCCTGCATCTATGTTGCACTCCTTTGTGGATTCATATGAGTTTCGTAAGTCAGTATGTTAATATATTTATAGAGCTTCATAATTTATTATGTTAATTTTTTTTTTGTGTTGATGTAATTCTTCTTTCTTCTTGAATTCAGTTATGTTTCTTATGTTTTGAACTTCAGTATCTTAAGTTGCCTTTTCTAACTTTGTGTTACTAAAATCTCTCTAGTTATTGGGTCACCTGGAAATGGAAGCTTGCCACTTAATGGAAATCATTACTCGTGGAACAGCTCCAACTTGCGCCAGCAAGATCTGCCAAATTTTATGGTTTGGCCAAATTCTCCATCGTTTGTCAATAGCATTCATGCCAACCGCCTTCAACGTATCCCTGCATTTCCTAGGACGACTCCTGTAATGTTGAATGTAGGGTCACCTGTACACCACCACATTGGCTCTGCGCCACCAGTTAATTCTGCGTTCTGGGACAAGCGGCATCCCTATACCGGTGAGTCCCCTGAAGCTTCGGGTTTTCACCTGGGATCTCTTGGAAGCATGGGCTTTACCAGTAATTCGACATCGCATCCCTTGGAATTTGCTTCCCACAACATTTTTTCTCTTGCTGGTGGAAATTGTATGGATTTGACGAAAAATGGTGGGGTACACTCTTCTCAGCAGATAGGCAACCTATTCCTTGGCAGGAACCCTATGATTTCAATGCCAGCATCTGTTGATTCCCCTAATGATCGTGTTAGAAGCTTTTCGCACCGTAGAAATGACTCAAATTCTAGCAACGCTGATAAGAAACAATATGAGCTTGATATTGACCGGATCATACGCGGGGAAGACAGCAGAACAACACTTATGATCAAAAACATACCCAACAAGTACGTGAACTACTCCTCTTGCAAATTACAATCATTTTATTCTTTATGTCTAATGTCTTGAGTTGTTCTTTTTGCTATTACAATAATTTCATTGCAAGATATTGTATCTATTTACACTTTCTTATGCTCGAGGAAAATTGCACGATGGATGATCATTAAGTCGCAGATAGTCTGTGATGATTATCAACAATTTGCCTTTAAATTCTCATCATTGCTCCTAAATGGAGTAATTAATGACGGGCCATCAATTTTAAATGATTGATATGTTATGCAAGTGATCATACTTTGGATTTTTCATTGCTTGCTCTGTGTCCTTTCCCTATGCTTCTTATTTCAAACTGATTATCCACTCAAATGGTAATTTTTGCAGGTATACCTCAAAGATGCTTCTGGCAGCGATTGATGAGCACTGTCGAGGAACTTACGATTTTATTTATTTGCCAATTGACTTCAAGGTAAGTAAATTAGTCAATCGGGCATTTCCAAACCTCGACACCGTGATACATACTTGGTTGTGTTACATTTACCTGTAGTTGAGTTTGTTATTAACTGTAAATTTTACAAATAACTTTTGCAGAATAAATGCAATGTAGGCTATGCTTTCATCAACATGATCGATCCACAACAGATCATTCCCTTTTATAAGGTTCGATAATCTCACTAATATCTCTTAGCTGTGCAAGTATTGTCATTTCCATGTGTGTCGTCCAGTTTTATTTTCGGGTTAAATCAATACATCTTTTCAGGCATTCAATGGCAAGAAATGGGAGAAGTTCAACAGTGAAAAGGTTGCATCTATTGCGTATGCTAGGATCCAGGGAAAGGCTGCTCTTATTACTCATTTTCAGAATTCAAGCTTGATGAATGAAGATAAACGTTGCCGCCCTATTCTCTTCCATACTAATGGCCCGAATGCTGGTGATCAGGTAGGTTATCTTGACACCATGAATAAGCTCAATGCAATTTTTCTTTTCGTTCTTGTTTCCCGAAACTTATTGTTTGTTTTACTTGTGCGGCATACCCTATTCTTGTATCTGTAATAGAGAAGGATGTTTTGAGTATTTAACTCCTACTTTTTTTTGTAGGAGCCCTTTCCTATGGGTACCAATATTCGACCAAGACCAAGGAGACCTCGAACCACTAGTAATGACGAGAACCACCGTCATGGTAGTTCTTCAACTTTATCTAACACGGAGGAGTTTTCCAATGCGGTCGACTCATTGACGGGTTCTTCCAAAGACTCTGATTGAACAGTGTGCTTATCCATCTCTAACTTCCCAAGTTCCAAGTATCTGAACCATTTTTTTCAGTAGAAATTACTCTGTGTTTTGATGGTGGCCTGATGACTCTTTTTTTGACATAGAGAATCAATTCCGGGAACCAAAATGTATAACCGATACTAAACTCGACAAATTTTGTTTTTCACCGAAGCCCATTCCAAGTGTAGAGACCAGTGTAATAGTGGCTTCAAATTTTGGATAGTCTTTGACCGAAGGGGTATCGTGTTGTATAAAAGTACCCGTGCTTATGCACGACCTTAGGGATCCTTTCGTTGTTTCTGTTTTGTATCCCGGGTTACGCGAATTTCATTTTCTTGTCCCGGAGGTTTCGGAATCCGTACGATGCCCCTTCTTTTAGTCTGTCTGGGGTGTAACTGCTCCAAGAGAGGGAGCAATGAACAACACATCTAAGTTTTCTAGTTGTGAAATTTCTGAACTTTGTTCATCTTTAATGGAAATACATTTGTTCTTCTTTGGCCTCTTCTTATGCCCTCTCTTATTGCTATATTTTGGAACATACATCTTAGACGTCTATTTTGTGGTGAAAATTTTTCATTCTTCGAGCTACCACTCGAATATAGGACCTTGGTTCGAATAATATTGAAGAAGAGATGCACTCGGAGTCTTCGTTTGTCTTGAAATACTCATGTTTTACTTTTTTGTACGATGCATGGATATCGAAATATGATATTTACACAAGAGGTGTTAAAAAATACTCGACTCGAATTATCCGATCCGTTGACCTGTCGACCTGATATAAGATTGCCGAGTATTTTAGAGATAAATACCCGATTTTGCTGGTCGGGTACCCGACCTATTATTTTTGGCGGGTTTCCGGGTTGAGCCCTGGTCACAAAATTAACCTTAACGGGTACCCATCACCTGTTGATCCAGTTCCCTTTTCTTATTTTATTACTATTTTTATTTTAAGTTAGATTTTTCATTTTTAATTTTAAAATTATTTTACCCTAACATTCTAAATCTCTATTTTTTTCAAATTATTTCAACTCAATATTTAAATTATTTATTTTAATCTTAAATTATTTTAAATTTAGTTGTAATTTTATAATTTTATTTTTAGATTATATAATTTGAATTTATAAATTTATGTTTATTTTATTGTTATGTATTATAAACTTTTAAGTTTTATATTTTTTTATGTGGATTTTTCTAAAATATTAATATAAATTAAAAAATAAAATAAAATAAATATTAACCAGGTACCCGTGATCCGAAAATGCGGGTACCCAAGTTTTATGGCTACCCGACTTACGGGTATCCACCTCTTACGTGCCAGGTCATGGGCCGAATTTTTTAGACCCGAAAGTTCCGGGTACCCGACATTTCAGATATCCGAAAATACAGTACCCAAATTTAAACACCCTTAATTTACACTCGAATTCAAGTAACACAAATATATATTTTTTATTTCGATATTCGCCAGATTATGCTTAGTAAGAACAACAAGGGATTTAGGAGGTTTTGTCTGAAAATGAGAAGGGTGAAACTGATGATGATGGCAGATGCTTTCATTAGCCTAGGATATGAGTGGAGGTCTTGCGGATACTTATGCCAAGTTTCTTCCTAGTAGTTATATTATGCATTTTCCTCAAATGTGAGAGCTCAAATTTGACAAATTTTCCTATTGTTATTTTTTCAACTTAAAATAAAAACAATTATCATCAAATAAATTTTATATAAGTGTAATCTTCTATTGTTATTACTAAATAGTTACTCTTAAAATAAAATTTGAGCATAAAAGTAATGTTTTTTTTAAAATTTGAATTCAGTCCAAGTTTGATTAGTTTAAAATATGGCTACGATACACATGAAAACTAAAAGCATGTTTCATCAAATGCTCCTAATCTTTTCCTAAAAGCATGCACTCATAGTAGGATAATAATAACAAATGGTCCATTGGCTCAATGAAATTGGAAATAGTGAAGCAGAATCTAACCTTGGGAGTTATCAAGGACTCAGGGGCCAAGGGTTGATGCGCTTGCGTGAACCCGCTCGCTGGACTGCCGATGAAGGTGATAAGCCTAACGGCATCCGAGTGTCTGAAGCCAGAGCTTGAAAATTACTCTGAACGACTGGCCTGTGATGTAATGAAGGCCTTGCTCTTGTAGATTGATGCTGCTTGCTGTTGCTCTCAAAGTAGAGAAGCTCTTTAGGTCCCATTGGACTCCCAGGTGTTCGGAACCTCCTCGTTTTCCGATGTTGTTGTCGTTTCCCCCGGCTTCCTCCATGCCTAAGAACTATGTACAAGTAAAACAGTATGAGAAGTTCCCTTACGCAACAGTTTAAATAGAATTTCTCACGCATCAAAATTAGTCGTTGGTGAAGTTTTCACTTAATGCAGTACTTCCATTAGTTCACTCGGAATGCATTGAATTCGATTCAATTACTGATGTTCGCCATATATTATTGGCAATAAGAAACACTAAAGGAATCGCCAAGAAGATTTGCCTAAGTTTCTACCCTAGTAGTGAACCTAGTAGTACCCCAACATGCTCAATAGGAGCACGAGAAGAAAGTGAAATTACGATTTCAATTGATTTCTGTCATTAAATCCGACTGTTAAACCTAGGAAATAGAACTTCAAAATCTCTACAATCAATGAGGAATTCACCAGATCTCAGTAAATCAAAGAGGCAAGTATGTAACTACAATGATTCACTATCATATTGGCGACCACTAATTCATTAATGAATTACTAGTTTACTCAAATCTAGTTATTGAGACCTACGGGTGGCACAGCACAAAAGCTAGACCTATGCGCCTCTCTGGTCTACAAAACAATGAACCACAACTACAAAGCAAAAAACTGGAAAATTATACCTTATGTGAGGCATGTTGAGCAATATGCTCTTTTTGAATTGCAACAAGGAACTCATAGCATTCCTTCATTCCTGTCACTTTCTCTTCTGTCTCCTTTAACTTGCACAGTGCGTTGATCCTCCCCTCCTCTGCTAGTCGGACCATTTTCCTTGCTTTCTCTAACTCATTCCTACTATTTCTCATGGATCTTTCAATCTCATCCAAAGAGTCCAGCAGGCGAGCACATGTTCCAATCTTCAAGTCAGCTTTGAGACCTTTGACATACTCCACCATTGGGATACACATTCTTTCAGATAAATCTCCCACTAATCCCTCCATGTTGTCCTCAACTGAACTAAGGTACAAAAAGTGGATACCAGATTTCCCTAACTGAACTCATAATAAGCTAAAGCAAAGATTAGAATGAACAATAGAATAAAATAAAAAGATTTGAAGTTTGGAAATTGATAAATCTCCTTGCAAAATGAAAAAAAACGACTTCTACTAAATAAATGAAAATTTATTGATTAAACTACCTTTCTGGTCTGATTGCTCCATTCTCCCCCAGCTACAGTTGGCGATATCAATGGTGACTTAGTTGTGAAACAGTTCAGACGGAATCCCTGGCCCTGAAATGAAATCAAATTCGATTTTGAAAACTAGTCTTAGAAGTGTTTGTTGTTTTCTGATTTCATTTTACTGATTTAGGTTTTTCGAATTCTGAATTACGGGAGAGAAATCAGCATCCACGACGATCGTGTTGAATCGTCCCTCTTCGGCCATTTCCTCTGTTTTCAAACCAACCAGCTTCATCGATGGAATCACCAAGGAATAAAACACATCCTCCGCCTGGAAAATCAAAACAAAAATCAACGGCGATTCATCGTTTGAACTTATCAAAGAAAAATGAAATCAAACATAAATGAAACGATGAAAATCACGATAAGCAAAACCAAAGCGATACTTCGCCCAAACCGGATTTGATCTGCGATTTCAGCTGTTGATAAGCAACCTTCACTTGATCATGCCACGAAGCGAGTCTCGTAAGCTTAGCGCCGATCGAAGCCGTCGATTCAGACGCCGAATCCCGCAATCTCCGTCGATTCTCCATTTTTGGCGGGAAAATAATTCGAACCTATGCTTCTTAATAGTAACAGTTCATGGATCTAAGAGTTGCCCAATAAACCAAAAGAGAGAGATGAATTACTGTTTCTCTTTAGAAAACAAAATATCTATCGAATCCTCATAAAGCTCAAGTTCAAATCAAGTAATCGAGATCAATCGAGTGTGCTTGCATAGTTGATTATATTTTAAATTTATTTTTAGTTAAAAACGGGTAAAGTACACAAATAGTCCCCTGACTATAAGGTGATGCTTTTTTGCGTCCTTTGGCTATTAGAAGTTACAAAATGATTACCCAAATATTCATATATTCCAAACTCGTCATTTTCCACTAAAAATAGGCACTGGTTTGAACTTGACGTTAACCTATTGAGTAGAACATGATAATTTAGTATTAAATTATTAATTTTGGTCTGTTTTAGTACCTAAACTTTCAATTTTTTTAAATCCATACCTAACGTTTAGTTTTGTTTCATTTTAATATACCGTCGTTAAAAATTTAACATATTTAGTACCTAAACTATCAATTTTAGTACCTAAAATTTCAATTTTTTCAAAACTTAACGTCAAATTTTGAACGGGGTACTAAAATGAAACAAAAACTAAACATTAGGTATAGTTTTAAAAAAATTGAAAGTTTAAGTACTAAAATAAATCAAAACTAATAGTTTAGACACTAAATGCGTAATTTACTCAACCATTTATGCAAAAGTTGTATTTTGTTTGCGTGCCCCAGATTGGTTGAAGCAAGGAATTGGGTTTTTTTTATAAAGATTGCAAATTGGGTGTGGTAAAACTGAAATTTCACTTCCTTTCTTCACGAAAAGGAAAGCACCACAATTTCTCAAGAAAAGATGGGTCAATCCCTAAATTATTTCAAATTCTAAATTAGTCTTTGAGCTTTAAAATATTTTAATTAAGTCCTCAAAAATATTAGTATTGTATCAATTAGATCTCTCTAGTTAAAGACTTTAAATACTAGATATAACATAGAGCATGTTAAAGAACAATATGCATAAAAGCACATCAATTTCCATGTAATCTTAACCGATATCTTTATTTCATAACCATTTGCTAAAGCACAGATAAAAAATGGCAATTCAAGCCCCAATTCTTATGCTATAAATCTCCATCTCCACTGCAGCAACTCAGCAATGCAGCCACCCTTATTCGTATTCTGATATACCGTATCGAACAAAAACATACACGAATACTAATATGTTCAAACTAAACGATCTTCAGAACCTGCTATCTCAAAGGAAAACAAAAGGCTACCGATTTCCGGTGATCGGGCCATCGCGGCCCTTCTTGATATCGTCCCACCCTCTCACCCCTGGCTGGGCAGGGGTTGCTCGGGTCTCGGGGGAGGAATAGTAGTCTAGGTTTTTCAAGACCTTCTCTTGCAGTTCAGAGAAAACCTATACAACCAAAGATCATATAAGAATACTGGGAAATAAAGGGAACACAAGTGCAAACTCTTATGTTTCGGGTCATCTCTTACAGGATTAACAGTCACTGCTTCAGGTGGTTGTTCTTGACCGGTTAACCATTTCCAGAGGTCGGGGTTTTCCTGCAAAGGAGAACTAGAAGTCTCAAGAAAAATATGGCAAGCATTTGGATTCCAATGAGAAGCATGACTTGTTGATTCCTTTCCTATATCGGCTTGAGAAAGGTTGTTTTTACAGTTTTTAGAGACTTCATGGATAGAAATACATGTTAACCAGTTTTCATAATATGTTCAACAATATCATCCGTTGGAAGAAAACACATTGCTGGCCTCTCTACTATCTGCTGTCAATTTCCATGGCCAACATCAAAATCATCTCAGCGATGGGCCGGGGTGAGAAAAAGTCGGTTCGAATCGACTTAACTGAATTGACTTAACCCTAAATTTGGTTTTTTAGGTGGTTCAAATAAGTTACATCAGTCAGTTACCAGTTATAAATTTTCATAACTGAACTGACCTACTATATGTAATATATAATTTCTTAACCAAAACTCAAACCAACTTCTATTTGTGCTCTCATACTCGGAAGGAAACAAGAGAAAAAGGAAAAATAATTCGGTTTAACCAACTTATCCGAGTGATGTTAATTGAGTTTGGTTAGGTTGGTTAAAGTATGGGGTTGGTCGGTCAAATTCGTTTATCGAAATTTTCAGTTGAACTGCCGGAACCGACCGTCTATTCTCCCCTAGTTATGAGAAAAGAAAGGTTAGTAGCAAGCCAAGGCTTGAGTTGGTAAGTGGACAGTTCAAGCTTAAAGTGCAAGCCAACATATAAAATGGAAAGCCGGAATCGGTTGCCGATAAGCTCAGATAGAATTGCAGCAGGCCGTTATTAGTATAAAGAAAAGACCAAATGCTGATGAACTACTTCTAGGACAAAGAATTCTGTATCATATTCATCAGATGCCACTAAAGACTTGAAAACAACGATTGTCTGCCTGTAGGGCTCTAAATTGTAATCCTATTCCAGAGAGACAAACCAAAGCAAATGAACACAAAAGGCTTTCTTACACAAATTGAGCAGAAAACAAAGCATGGATGCTCAGCAGGGATGAACTGAAGGGGGCGGGTGAGGACAATTGCCCTTGAAAATTTTAAATTCTTGTATATTTTAGATATTTTCTTTGTATTTTTCATTAAAAATCTATTTATGCCCTCTAAAATTTTATAAATCCGTATCTCTTAAAGTTTTATAGGTTCACCCCTAGCATAAAATCATTTATCCATCATGATGCTCAAGTATGCTTCAAATTGACAGGGTTCAGATATAGTTTTGAACTTCTACGCATGTAAACTCATCTTATAAGAAATAAAAAAGGATAAATTACGCATTTAGTACATACGCTATCAATTTTAGTCTATTATAGTACCTAAACTTTCAATTTTTTTCTATACCACACTTAAAATTTAGTTTTTGTTTCATTTTAGTACCAGCTGTTAAAAACTTAACACGTTTAGTACCTAAACTATCAATTTTGGTCCGTTTTAGTACTTAAACTTTCAATTTTTTTCAAAAGTTAACGTTAATTTTTGAACGAGTACTAAAATGAAACAAAGACTAATCTTTAGGTATGGTTTTGAAAAAACTGAAAGTTTAAATACTAAAACGAATAAAAATTAATAGTTTAAGTACTAAAGACGTAATTTACCCTAAAAATAATCCTTCAACCAAAAGATGGAGAGAGAAAGAAGAATACCAAATCAAGGACGTGAATAAGAGCTTTAATTCCATTTTCATCCACGGAGTGGATATGTTGTTCAACCCATTTTCCCAAAACCAAATCCAGCTCCAAAAACCCTCTTTGTTTGCTCCTATACAGAAATCTATAAAATTCAAAAACAGGGATCCATCAAAAATTCAAAAATCCAGTTAAATTTTTATGATCAAAGCCAGAGAAAAAAAAATACCCAGAAAGCTAACCTGTTAAAGAGGCGTCTTTTGCTTTCTTCGTTAGAAAGATCGATGTTCAATGGCTGGGCGTAACTAAAATCAGTGGAACAATAATATCTTGAAATCCAACCATACTGTGGCCTGATGAAGAGCAAATTTCTTGCTAATGTGATAATTGACAAAAGCAAACAAACGTGCAACGAGAAAAGGGTTAATGTGTACCTGAAAACGGTGGTTGAACGGCCGGCGACGGCGGAAGTAGTAATGACACGGTGGGCGTTACGGAGAGCTATTATGAGGGTAGCCATTAGCTTAACCGCCGATTGTGGAACTCTTGAGAAAGTGATGAAAATTAGAAGGCAAAATGAGATATAAATTGGATAAACTACGTCAGTAATCACTGAAGTATGATTAAATTTCTTTTTCAGCACTCAAATTTTAAAAATAACGAAAGATCACTAAAATTATTATTTTTAATAAATCGATCACTCGATGATTAACACAGTTTCCTCGTTAATAGAAGATTAACTTGTCACATACTCACATTAACTCATCTAATCATATTCCACCTCTATCCTTCATGAAAAATACAAGTAATCTCTCCCTCCCTCTTTTTAGGGTAAATTATACATTTAGTACTTAAACTATTAATTTTGATCTGTTTTAATACTTAAAATTTCAATTTTTTAAAATCATACATAACCTTTAGTTTTCATTCCATTTTAGTACCCTATTATTTTAAATTTAACACATTTAGTACCTAAACTATAAATTTTGGTCCGTTTTTAGTACATAAACTTTCAAAAAAAATTAAAATTTAACGTTAATTTTTGAACGAGGGTACTAAATTAAAATAAAAAGTAAAGTTTTTAATGGTTGACTACTAAAATGAAACAAAAACTTAACTTTAAGTATGAGTTTGAACAAAAATTAAAAGTTTAAGTATTAAAATAAAATAAAACTTATAGTTTATAAACTAAATGCGTATTATGCATTTTTTATCACCGCGTTTAATGGTGTAACTATTTTTTCTCACCTTTATTATTCTTTCCCCTCCTTACCAAATTTTAATTCTTACATATTTTAAAATATTTTCTATTAAAAATCTATTTTTACTCCTATATTTTTATAAATTTACTTCCTAACATAAAGTCTTGTTTACGTTCGTAATTATCTCGATATAATTTTGGTTTAATATTATTTTAGTTCATGTAAAAGTAAATATTTAACTTTAAAAAATATAAAAATTTATTAAATATTTAATCAAGTATAGATTGAACTAAAGAATGATAAGTCCGTGTTCTCAAATTTTTGGTCTAATTACAATTTAAGTCCTTATAAATTTAAATAATAGACAAATTAGAAATTATCTTTTGAGTTTTGAGTTTTTTAAATTTAGGGTAAATACAAAGTAATATATGTACGAAGACTTTCAACTATTTGATAATAAACGCTCATACTCTTACATACGTGCTTGAACTCGGGACCTCGAGGATAACAACAATTCCTTAATCACTAAAGTCGTTTGGTTCATACTGAATTTTGAGTTTAAATACCTAATAAGTCTTTATATTTTTCTTAAATAATATAATATTTCGACATTACCAATATTTAATTCTGACTCCGGCACTGCTGCTATCTTTTTTTTAACCATTTATGGCATAACCATTCATCATACCATTTGATCGCAATGACGTTTTTCCATCATAGCCACCATCTTGTTTTTGTATTTTTTTTTTCATGGAGAGAGAGAAAGAAGGTCGATTAGCATGGTAAAACGATATGAAATAAGTAAGTTTAAGGTGTCACAACAATTCTATTGTTATTAGGATAAAGATAGTTAAGAGTTAAATGACTGATTTGTTATAAAATACTAACATCAGTGACTGTTTTATTACTCTTGAAACTTTAATACTAAAAAGAAAAATCTACTAATATTTTAGTGATTATTTATGTAGTTTATAATATATATATATATATATAATAAAGTTATCTCAACATTTATTTAAATGCACAAATCGAGCAACCTTAGTGGTAAAATGAATTACTGTTATTCTTTGAGGACCCGAGTTATAGCACCAAGAATGTCAAGAGTGTAATGTCAAATGATTTAGAGTTATTTTTGAACAGATGTTGTCTTGTATTTACCCTAAATTAATAAAAAAATATTTATACAAATAGTCTTTTGACTCATATTTTTGTTTTAATTCTCAATATTTAACCACTAAAATCATTTAATAAATTCTATTCGAGGGATTTTTAAATATATAAAAAATTATAAAAATTATACTCACAAATTCAAATAAAGTAAGTTTCATTTGTTGACGATCAATTAAATAGAATTTCTTTTATTTTATATACTTTTAAATTTATCAAATCGATACGAATTAAATTATCTCATTGGTTAAAAGAATTATTGTTATTTTTAAAAGTTATGAGTTTGACACTAACAACCGCAACAGATGTGATTGAACATTCATTTTCAGATGATTGAGAAAATTTTAAACATATATTACTTTGTAATCACCTTAGCTTAATAAAAAAATTATTAAATCTTAGTTTATCTTGTTGATACTCTAAAAAAAGTAAAATTGAAATGAGAAAAATTAATCTTGTAAGTAGGGATGGGCATGGGACCCCAATCTGATAGGTTTCGACTCGACCCGATCGAATCAGGTCTAGGTTTTTTTTTAATTTGGGTTTGGGTCGGGTCAAGTCGGTTTTTTAAAAGGTGATGTTCGGGTCGGGTCGAATTCGGATTCGGATTTATGATGAAAAATACCCGACCCATAAAAAATATAATTTTACTTTATATATTTAGGAATAATTACAATAATATCTCTATATTATTACTTTTTTCAATTAAATTACTGTTTTTATTGAATAAAAATAATATTATTTTATTATTTCGGGTTGGGTCGGATCAGATTTAGATTTTATCTCAAAAAATCGGGTCGGGTGGAGAGTATATATTTTTCAGATCAGGTTGAGTCGGGTGAAGGATGTAAAATTTCGAGTTGGGTTAGCCAAAACCCATCCCAAACCCCACCCATACCCATCCCTAATTGTAAGCCCTTGGTGAGGATCGAACTCACGACCTTTTGCTTACGAAGCAAACGCACTACCACTATGCTACAAAGGCAATTTACTAAAATTATATGTTCTTTTAATAAAATTTTCATTTCATATACATCAAATTTTATTAGTGAAAGAGCTGAGCCAAAGCTCTAAATTAGATAATAAAAAATTGAAGAGATTAAGACAAGAAACAAGAGTCAAATAAAAGTTTAGAAGAGATTAATTTAGGACATTGTTAATTAATAACCCAAATAAATCCTCATATACCAAAAAAAGTCATAGAGGGGACAAATTTAAAGAAAAAAAGAAGAAGGAAGCCGTAGGTTATGAGAGAGGAAGGACGATAGAGTAAAAATATAACATCTTAAATTCGACTCAAACATTACCCGAGCTAATAGTGTCACATTAGATGATCGAAATAAATATTTATTCAGTTTATAATCAAGTCAAATATGCAAATCATCAATGCATTCATTTTATCAATGTCGAGGTACTAAATTGCTACGCATAACAAACATAAGGACTATAATAAAATTGATAGCATTTATAAGACTTAAAAAGTCCATTTTCCCTTACTTCAATAAGTGGGTATCGAATTCAAGTGATATCGGAATCACCTTCAAAGTTTCCATCCTCCGCGAGTCTAGGAAGTTTTGAGGAAGTAATATGTCTGTAATGCCCTTAAATGTTATAGATCGCACACGTGCCACACTGATCTATTCAACGAGCTCATAATCTTGGTCGAAAGGTTTGAATAATCTCTCAAATTTCATCATAGTGGGAATAAATCATTGTAATTGTTAGTATTCAATAAGAAATTTCTAGTAAGCGCGAGTCATCAGTTCACGTAGACTACATTCCTACCCTTTATACACCTTGCATGTTGTTCCTATCGATTGAATGATTTAGTGAAATGTTCGGATCGATGTCACAAGAAGTTCATGTTGAAAGTAAACAAAACATGGGCGGCTGATTTGTTTAAATCAAGTGGGGCGGCTTGAATTCAAAGTTAGGCAGCCCATTTTTTTGAATTTAAGAAATGATTAATTACATTTTAGTCATTGCACTTTAGGATATTTTCAAAAATTAGTCCCTAAACTGCAACTATAAATACCCTATCTCATTTAGCTTCAAAAGCATCCCAAATCTTTCTCCTAATACTAGAGAGCTTTCTTCTGAGTAGCGAGTGTTTTGTAAACACCTGTAAATTTTCTCTTTTAGTAAAAGATTTGCAGCGGTCCGAAGACATAGGCAAAATTGGCTGAACTCCGTTATCAATTTCGGGTATTATTTTTCCACTTTTATTTCATATTCTTACTAATCTGGTTATAGGGGAATTACCCGTACTCGTTTTATTTCCCAACAACTGGTAATCAGAGCTTTTAGTTGTGAATTTTGTCAATTTTTTTGCGAGATTACTATTCACGTGAATAGTGAATTTCGTGAATAGTAAAAAATTGTCAGCGATACGAATTTTTCGACAGAGGTGTTCTAATACACGATGGTTCGCAAGAATTGTCAGAAACGATCCAAACGAAGCCAAATTCGAGTGGGAGCGATGGCTGCAGATGAAGGGAATGTGAAAATTAAAAAGTTCGATGGTGCGGACTTTGGTTTTTGGAAGATGCATATTGAAGATTTTCTATAAAAGAAAAATCTATATCAACCTCTCTCAGGAAAGCAACCAGAGGGCATGAAGAATGAAGACTAGGCTCTTCTCGACATATAAGCCCTCGGAGTTATCCGACTGACGTTATCCCGCAATGTTGCTTTCAACATAGCAAAGGAAAAGACCACGACGGGTTTTATGGCGGCTCTCTCCAGTATGTATGAGAAGCCATCGGCCTCAAACAAAGTTCACTTGATGAGGCGATTATTCAATTTGCGAATGTCGGAAGGGGCATCAGTGGCTTAACACCTAAATGAACTCAACACAATCACAATCCAGTTGAGTTTCAAGGAAATTGAATTCGATGATGAAGTTCGAGCTTTAATTCTCTTATCATCTCTACCAGACAGTTGGAATGCTACTGTTACAGTAGTCAGCAACTCGTCGAAAAACAACAAATTGAAATTCAACGATGATCGAGATTTGGTATTGAGTGAAGAAATTCGACGGAGAGAATCGGGAGAAGCATCAAGCTCCCCAGCCTTGCACACAGAGTCTAGAGGGAGAACTTCAGAAAGAAATTCAAATCGTGGCAGATCAAAATCCAGAAGGGGAAAATCAAAAACGGGAAATAAA